CATATTGACACAGATATGGACATTCTGTTAAATCTTAGAAAGTGTGAAGATTATTTCAGTGATGACATTCTAGGTGTGGCTGTCTGTATCAACCTATTGAAAACTCCACATTTACAAACAAATAAAAGACAACATGACAGAAAACACCTGAACACTCAGTTTCAATTCAATTTCCACTGGAATATTTTTTTCAGAGCATCCTTAATATCTTTGTTTCTCAGGGTAGAGATCAAAGGATTTAACATGGGAGTAACAATGCTATAGAGAACAGAAATTAGTCTGTCTTTCTCCAGTGAGTAGGTTGATATTGGCCAGACATAAGTGAAGATGGAACTCCCATAATACAAGAGGACAATAGTCAAGTGTGAGCTGCAGGTGGTGAATGCTTTTATTCTCCCTTCAGTGGAGCGTATCTTCAGTATAGTGGAGATGATGTACGCATAAGAGAGTACTATGCAAATGAAGGGAGCCCATCCTATGAAAACTCCCACAACCAGCAGAATTATCTCATTGAGGGAGGTATCTCCACATGAAAGCTTTAGGAGGGGAGGGATATCACAAAAGAAGTAGTTAAGCTGATTGACTCCACAGAATGGCAACCGGAAAGTAAAGTAGGCGTGCAGAGCTGAATTGAGAAAACCACTTGCCCAGCTGACACTAGCCAACTGGAGACAAAAAGATTTCCTCATGATGACTGTGTAATTCAAAGGATGGCATATAGCCACAAAACGGTCATAAGCCATTGCAGCCAGAAGAATGCACTCAGGGCCCACAAATGAGATGAAGAAATAGAGCTGAATTACACAGCCAGCATATGTGATGCATTTCCTCTCTGACAGGAGGTGTACGAGCATCTGAGGGACATTGGTGGTCGTATAGCAAATGTCTAGAAAAGACAGGTTCCCCAGAAAAAAGTACATAGGGGTGTGAAGCTGAGGATCCAGAGAGGCAATGGTGAGGATAAAAATGTTACCCACCAGTGTACAGATGTAGGTGACAAGAAAAACTAAGAAGAGGAACAGCTGCAATTCTTTGAGACTTGAAAAGCCCATGAGAAGAAATTCAGTCAGAACTGTTTCATTACTTAT